TGATCTTAGGAAGACTGATTTTCTGGGAACAGTCGGCACCTTCGACGTTTTTCTTTTTCGGAGTTCATGTGTTTGTTCAAGAATTTAGTTGGATATCCGTTTCTACTTAGTAGATCACGAATATTACCGAGTTCTTCATTCAGTGTCTCATTTGAACAGATAAATCTAGCTAGCCCGGCGAGCCAGACATCTAACCAAATTACGTTTGTACTGTAGAGTTACAAAGTTCAGGAAGTGAGTATATTGTCCAGTGGAAGTAGGTTTTCGATGCAAACGTCTACATATTGTTTCATATGTTCGCTTGATCATTAGGACGTCCAAAAAGGTGATAGAGTCATTTTCTTCCTTTTCCTTAGTGAAGCTGATGCCAAGAAAGAAAGTGAGACTAAGGGCATATTGGATAAATTCAATAAAGTACATCCTGGCATCCTGAATGATTGGAATTAACACTCCAGCACTGCTATTTGGTATTGTTTCCACAAAACCTTTGCAAAATGAAGTATCATATATTCCATACACCTACGCTTGATTAGACCTTCTTGCTTCCCTACTGTACTTCTTTATGAGGACAGTTTCATCAGTATAAACAACTACTCCGACTTCTTCAAGATAGGTAGTAATCCTCTCCAACTTCCATGACGCTATGTCTCTACAAAGATGATACCACTGCACTGTAGAGACCAGACTATTTTCCGTCTCACCTTCTGCTGACCTTACAGGCGTTTGCAAAATCCAACAGTACATAAGCCGTAGAATACCGAACAAAGACAGCTTAGACTTGGAGGATAAAGTACCTAAGGAACAAGCGAAATACTCCGCCTACCCTCACTAGCCAATTCTCTCTTATGACATGAATTACATATGCAGCAGTATTTATCTCCAACACTGTTGTATTGCTTTATTGTCATAGTATCTCCAAAACAACACAAGTCTTCATCGCTCAAATCAATCCATTATTAACACACTAGTTGAATACGCGATCTCCGTGGAACTCACAAACCAAATTCATAAACTCAGGCATGAATTCTATTTGGAATGACCTTTCGAAGCATCCAGTAGAGCTGACTGTGGCTATGATACTATAACTTCGCCATAGTTACCCCGTTGATGTCTTATATTTCTGTCTTAAAGGACATCAGTATTGACAATAAAACAGACAGTACAACAGATCAATGAATTCCAAGGAGGAGGGTGAAGCTTTAACTTTACAAATGTAAATCATGTGTATATATTCATTATTCATTTTTGTATTTCCCAATCAATGAAAAACAAAACGATGCTGTTTTTATTGACTTTTCGCTAAGCACACATATTATTACGTGTATAATATATGTACTTTTTCATTATTCATTGTGTTTTATATGTGCGATTCAATGGAAATTTCTGGGGATTTTCGGGGAAATTTGGCGATGTTTTGGGGTAATTTCGAGGTGTTTCTTTTTTTGGGGGGGAGAGATTCTCGGGGTGATTCAGGACTTTGGGTTTTTGGGGAAAATTGTTGCATTCCCCCAAAATTTAGCCAGAAGCCCCCTAATTTTTTATTCGGGATATTTAGATGCACAGTATTTCCTCTTCCTACAGGATCCACATGTGAAATAATAATTCGCAGTCTTATACCATATAAACAAAGACAAATTTTCAAGTATTGGTTTGGTAGGGATTTTGTTTGATTGTATGGAGGATTTCATCATGAGCTGACATCAGTTAGAGAACCACTGGAAAACCTGGGAGTACTGGACAGCTGTTTCGTCCTAGTTTGGGACTCTTCAGCAGTACGCACCCACCGGGATTCGAACCCAGGACCTTCTGGTTACAAGGCGAGCTCGTAGACCATTGAGCCACTAGGACCCGATCCAATGGTCCTTGAATTCTAACTTCTGCCAATTCACGACATAGCGCGACCATTTCGCAATGTCTTCTTAGATGAGTTACTGTCACATCTTCAACCTGCTGTACCCTACTGGTCACGGCTTCTCACTAGAACCCCAGGTTAACTGCCTGAATAGGGCCAGTCACTAGTGAGCATCAGATTAATTTTCAAGTATTGGTTTGGTAGGGATTTTGTTTGATTGTATGGAGGATTTCATCATGAGCTGACATCAGTTAGAGAACCACTGGAAAACCTGGGAGTACTGGACAGCTGTTTCGTCCTAGTTTGGGACTCTTCAGCAGTACGCACCCACCGGGATTCGAACCCAGGACCTTCTGGTTACAAGGCGAGCTCGTAGACCATTGACCCACTGGCAGTTAACCTGGGGTTCTAGTGAGAAGCCGTGACCAGTAGGGTACAGCAGGTTGAAGATGTGACAGTAACTCATCTAAGAAGACATTGCGAAATGGTCGCGCTATGTCGTGAATTGGCAGAAGTTAGAATTCAAGGACCATTGGATCGGGTCCCAGTGGCTCAATGGTCTACGAGCTCGCCTTGTAACCAGAAGGTCCTGGGTTCGAATCCCGGTGGGTGCGTACTGCTGAAGAGTCCCAAACTAGGACGAAACAGCTGTCCAGTACTCCCAGGTTTTCCAGTGGTTCTCTAACTGATGTCAGCTCATGATGAAATCCTCCATACAAAGACAAATTTGTCTACTAGGTTTTCCTTCATTTTCTGTAAGAATTACATGGCATTTTTTTGGAAAACTAATTGAAACTTGATCAAGTTCATCTGGTGACTAGTGAATACAATTGCATAATGAAAACAATAAGTTATCAGTCTTTCCTTGCCATGGTAACTGGATGTCTTTATTCTCTAATCTGATTACGCAATCTTTGTCTTTAACCTCACCCCTCTTTTATTTTTAAAAATCTGTAATATTGCTTGTCTCTTGTTTCTGTGAGGTGATTTGAACTCAATACATGGTTACCAAATTTATTAGTTACTCATCATCTTACTCACCTCTCGTCTTTATTACTTAACTCATTTACCATTGTATGCATACATCTATTTTGTTTAAACTTGAACTACCTGTGAAAAAACTATATAAGCGCAATTTTCTGAGCACTGTTCACTCACTGTGGAACTTTCTGTCAACTGACAACATGTAAAATTTGCAAGTATGTAAAAAACTTTTCTGTACGTAAACCTCACAATTTATTTAGGCTGTAAGCAGCTGATGAGAAGCCGACGAAATAAATGATGGTACCATATTATTCTGCACAAACCGCTGTTGTTCTTGCTTTATTTAAAAACAATAAGAAATGCGCAAAACCAATACTTCGAAATTAATCTGATGCACGCTAGCGAAGTTACCGGGAGTTCTAGCAAGAAGTCATGACCACTTGAGTCCATCAAGTTATATAAGACATTTACGCGCTTGAATGACAATGACTGGTGTTTGCAATATATATACATATATATATATATATACATAAATATTTCACCAATCGGAAGAACCACAGGCGGTACAGATGAAGAGGTCAAAGCTGGCCAGAATCGGAAAGGCAGGATAAGCCTTCATCACCCAGAAACCAGTTTGGAAATCTTCTGGGCTAACTCAGCCAGCCAGCATAAACAACAAGATTCGGATTCTGTTCAGTGCAAATATGAATTCAATCAGTCACTTCTTCTATATGGGTCAGAAACTTGCAATGCCTGTCGCATAAAGGATTTCCAACAGTCTAAGGCAAACTTTTATCAACAGCTGCCCACTTCGCTGGCTGGCTGGCTGGCTGGCTCCATACTGAAGATCAAATGGCCAGCCAGCAGGTCAGCCGGCTAGAAAGAATTAGCAGGAAGAAACCCTAGCTGGTTAGCTGGGAACAAACCAACAAGCGAGAGCCGATTTCTCAACAAATTTTTCGGAGAAAATGGAGATGGATCGGTGGGGCATACGGTGAGGAGACCGTAGAATGACGTCGAGCTCAATGCAGGCCATTTTTTGAGTAGAATCCGAATGGGAAGAGAGGAGTGGGTCGTCACTACGAGGGTGACATGGAGGAGATCGTGTGTCGAGGTGGAGGAGATAAGAGATTACGGGCAATCATATGGCTAGCCAGATGAAGAGGGGAGCAGAAAATAGAAGAAAGTGGAAATGTGTTGTTGAAGTCGTATGTTCCACTTGAAACCCAAGGAAATAATAATATTATAACAATAACTGGCAGAAGTTAGAATCCATAGGGTAGCCATTAGATCGGATCCCAGTGACTCCATAGTCTACGGGTTCACCTTGTAACCGGATGGTACTAGGTTCCAACTCTAGCAGCAGATGCGAAAAGTTGAAGAGTCCACTAACTAGGACGAAACAACTATCCAGTACTCCCTAGTGATTTTCCAATGGTTATCCATCTAACTGGTATCAGCTCTCTGATCAAGCCTGGAACCAATCAAATCCCTACAAACCAACCCTTAAAAATACGAAAGAGCTTTTGTGCATTATGATGGATAGAAAGTTTGATAGCCCATTGAGATTTAAGCCAACTGCCTTAGAATCATTGACCTTTAAGTTTATTGTAAAATAATTTTTTAGATGATTTTTGTTTACTAATATATATATATATATATCGAAAATATGAAAAACCTAATTAAGTCCATATGATTTCTGCTTCTTCTCGTTTTGTTAATTTCTTTAAGCATACCGCTGTTAACCAGAATAACTAGAGTAAATTACGTAACCTACAGGTATCATCTTTACGCGTTTGTTTAAAAGGTTTGAGGAGGTCTTTTTGTTATCAGTCTGTTTATATAACCAGCATATTTGTAGGTAGTGTTACTAAGGCCCCTTATCTAACATTCGATATAAATATATATGTTGTAATGATTGAACAATACCTCATTCAAACTCTGACCAGTATTCAAGCAAAGTTCGAATTATCTAATTAATAAAAGGAGAAAGAAAAAGCCCTTGGAATTATTTCACTTCACACAGCGCTTTTCTCTTATTCAACCTACGGAGTAGATCGAAACGTTACTTCAAGAAGTCAGTTTGGAGAGGGAAGGAAGAAAATATTCAATCTAAAAGGATTTATTCCCTTCACTTCTGTTTGTCTTGACCATTATAATCAATATGGACTTGACAACTGAGAATAATTCATATTATTTTAATGATAATAATAATCATGAATCGAGTAACACAGAGGTTAATCAAGTTATAGTGAACACTAATCATTCATTATGTAATCCAGCTGAATTATTCATGGGGTCTGTTGACCAATCTTTACCACGGAATTTTGAACAACCTATTAAGGATTTGATTGTAGACACTGGGGAAATGAACCATGAGAAAACATCAAATTCTGATTATATTCATTCAAAACAGTGTACACTGTTGTGTTGTAATGATATGAGTTCATCCAAATGCTTCTCCCCTTCTTCTTCAACTGGGAGTGATAGGCAACATGGTGACGCAATTGATTGCAGTGGTGACAATCATAATAACTACAAACATTGTGACAGACATAATACTGATGATAATAATAATAATAATCGCATCAGTGATATGATTTCTGCTTCTTATAATGCGACAATGTTGGATGCTGATATTACCAATGTGATAGCATCAATAAAAAGTGAGTTTCAAACGATGTTTCCTTGAAAAGGATTTCATTCCTCTTTAATGTAGAACAAGCAACAACTGTGAAAAACGAAGCTGTATTTAATGAATTCATAAGTTTCGATAGGAAGACTCGTCAGCTGAACACCCTACAAACAATTTCATGTTAAGGTTAAATGCATGCAAACTCATGAACATTGTGACAACAACAACAAATAAGTATCAAGCAGGGATTTGATTGGTTACAGGATTTAATCATGAGCTGATATCGGTTAGAGAATCATTGGAAAGCCAAATAGAACTACTGGACAGCCTGCTATTTCGTCAGCCTAGTCTGGGACTCTTCAGAAGTACGCATCCACCGGGCCTGGTTTGAAACCAGAACCATCCAGTTACAAGGCAAGCTGGTAGACCAAGCCCAGTCAGTCGCGCTACATCGTGAATTGGCAGAAGTTAGAATTCATGCACTGGCTGGCCATTGGATCGGGTCCCAGTGGCTTAATGGTCTATGAGATCGCTAGCCTTGTAATCAGAAGGTCCTGTGTTGGAACCCTTGTGGTGGGTGCGTACTGCTGAACAGTCCCAAACTAGGACGAAACAGCTAACTGTTCAGTACTCCAAGTTGGCTTTCCAGTGATTCTCTAACTGATGTCAGCTCATATTTGAAATAAACTAATCTAGTATGGAATTATGTTCCACTATAGTGCCCAAGTCCTACACTTATATTAATGGACTAATGGCATGTTTTGTTTAAACACTCCAATAATATACCGTGAAGAAAATATAGTCAATTGAACTACAAAATGTATCATTCATCTTTTAAATACAAATGGCTTTATTCACTGACTGCATTGTGTCGTTTCTTATTAAATGTGTATTAGAGCCAGAAGCTGTACATCACGAATACGCTGTCTACTTCTTCCTACCAAATTTGTGACTTATATGCGCGAGTGAGTAAACATTAGATCACATGACTAAACTAGAATTAGGACAGATGTATTCTAGTGTATTTTAATAGTCTAATAACCTTCAAACCTTTTTGCATTAATCACATTTGAGAGAAGAATACATGAGTCATCACAGATATTGATCAGTTATTTCTTTTGGGCTCATATTATTACGTGACTAGGATAGGAAGAGATAAAGTGCATTCACTTTCTACCCTTGATTGGTCATATATTTATTAATGAAATGGGCACTACTTAGCATAGTAAAACTACTACACTAGTGGGGCATTTGATATTTGTACTGTAGTTGCTAGGTTAGCCTTAAACAGTCATACAAAAGAGACAAGATTATAAGTGAACTAGTATTTGGACACATTTATTCTAATATATTTCATGAACGGCCTAGCTACATTTCGTCTATATACAGTCAGCATACTTAGGGCTCGATAATTAGGCTTATATGAAGCTATCGTCGTGCTAAAGGAATGAATACTAGAATTTCAGTCACCAGCGTTTCATGTGATCTTAGTTAAAGGGCACATTCATCACAGTTATAGGAGGATTGTATTTAAATATCAGATTTAGGTGATCAATACTTTGTTTGAATGAATGAATTTTTATAGGATGGTAGAAATTTCGAATCTATGATTACAGATGCTCTGAAGTGTTAAGGATCACACAGAAACACATGCAGGCTCGTTTCTTTGTGAAGACTCAATGAAACTGATTTCTAAACTGAAGTTAATAGTTTTCAGTTAAAGGACAATGGTGAGTGAACCATTGAAAGACCTGGAAATACCAGTTTGATATGTTGTTGGTCTTATCAGACATACGATATACATGTGGGTGACTGGTGTTTGAATCCTGAGATATTTCAGTTACGTCTTGCTGACGAGAGCCAACAAGAACGAAACTTAATTTAAAGGCTTCTTGCCTCTAACAATCGAATAACTAATTCCAATAACGAGGTATCTGTTTATTAAAATGTTTTGTTTCTAGAATTCAGATTACCACTTTCTTCCATCTTTAATTTCACATCTGTAATATATCAGTAAAAGACTTGGGGCGTCACGAACTGCACTTCGAACAAACTACACACCTTGATCAGCAGCTGTCTTCGCTCAATACTACTCAAGATCACATGGACGGCCAGAAAAGATCAGGACCAGGGAGGCACCTCTGAGAGCAAACCAACGCGGCCGGAACCGATTGTGCAACAAATATGCAGGAAGAAAAGGAGGTGGATTGGCTGACCATACTCCGAGAAAACAAACCATCAAGTGACATCACACGCCAGGCTATCGCTCAAGTGAAACCCGAATAGGAAGCGGCTAGTTGCACGTCATTACGAGTTTGGGGTGACATGGAGGAAGTCATGTGAAGACAAGATGAAAGCATGTGGGCAGAAGTGAATCCGGGTGAAAACGTTGGTGGAGGACCGAACGTAATGGAGACGTGCGGCTGAAGTCCTGTTCCTCTAGGAACTAAAGGAAACAATAATAATATATCAGTAATGAGTTGATGCATATATTCAAAATTCTGTCATTTTGCTTTATGGCGAAATTGGCAGTCAGTTCCAACGATGAACATCCACTTCATATCCCCCATTCAGGCAGAACTTCTCTGTAACACTTCAGGATTACAATCCTGTAGCCAGCCCTTAATGAACAGGAAACTGGAATTGAATTCTGATTAATTTCACTACGAGATTGGTAGCACTGTAATGTCTTAAGGTTAAAAGTTCATAAGAAAGGGATTAGAAATTTTAAATGAGGGATGGCCGTAATATTATCATCAGTTGGTTAGGCTTTATTGAATCAAGGGAGGGAAAATGGTTGTAAGAACTTCTTCTGAATGCATAGTTTACGCCTAACAGTTCGAATGCTAATCGCCTCAGCTGTATGTAATAGACGGGTACGGAGTCATTTGGAAAGGTTCAGTGGGATGCGATGATTCATCTTGAATGCTTTCGTTTTCCTCCCACTAAATGACCACTATCAACTAAGTGTGACAAAAGAGAGTCACGGATGGTTTTTGTCTGTCTTTTGCCGAACTACTACGACGGCAGATGTTCATTAACACATTGGCTATGTTGTCTAGTAATACGCTCTACATAACTGTTTCCTGAGGAGCAGTTGAACTGATAATTATACGTAGATATAGAAAAACGATCTAGCTTATCTTTATTTTGCTGCATAAAATGCTCTCCACATACCTCCGGCCAGTCTCTGGAACAAAATATCACTTTACAAGTCCCCATTGAGAATTGTAACTTAATAAATAACGGTTTCTTATGTGCTGTCATCATCATCTAACAAGGATAATAACATCTTTATTCTGGACAGTATTCATAAAATGTACAGAATTTTCAGAGAAGTTTATTGCATGATACTTTCCCTTCGCACAACATCTTCAAGTAAAATATTAATTAAACAGGTGAAAACTAGTAAGTTTTGGGTGGAGTTACGCAATACAAAAACAGTCCAAAAATTGGGTGTTAATGAAAATAGCGGAGTAACAAAGGTGATGAGCTGTCACAAGCAGTTGTTAAAAAGGAGTTACGTAATAATATGAATAGTTTGATGATTGAGTTGTACTCAAGATACACACACAATACAAAGTAGAGAATACGAAATTACTCAGGAGTTCTAAATAAATGCAAGAATTATAAGCAATTAAATAAACAGCATACAAAAAAGAATTACTCAACCACTTCCGTAATCATAGTAACAACTTTGTTGATTTTTGATGACCTCATTTTGTTTGTTTGCCTGTTTCTTTAATTGCTTATAATTCTTGTATTCATTTAGAACTCCTGAGTAATTTCGTATTCTTTACTTTGTGTTCAATGTGCATCCTGAGTACAACTCAATCATCAAACTATCCATATTATTACGTAACTCCTTTTTTAACAACTGTTTGTGACAACCCATCACCTTTGTTACACTACCCTAGTTTCATTAACACTCAATTTCTCGACCGTTTTTGTATTACTTACTTCACCCAAAACTTATTAATTTTCACCTGTTTGGGTTAAAATAACCATAACCAATTGTATTTTTGTTTGACAAACTTAATGTACACATACATAGAAAATGTTAACTGACAGTACATCCAAGAACACAATGGTCTCTGAGCTCAAGCACAAACCATTCCATCATGATAATATCTGCTTTGACCCCTCAATAAATCCACGATATCTAGTTGAAAGCCGATTATAAGATGTTCAGAGGTACATTTTGAGACCCAAGGACATAACTAAAGAACAGTTATCTCATGTAATGATTGAAACACGTTACCACCCAAAATCAGGCTTTTTCTCAAGACACATGCCATTAATTACCACCTAGTGTCCAATCAAAGTACCCAATACAGTCACTCCTACGGGAGGTCAGTTGCGCGCCCAAATAGCTCAGTGGTAATGTCTCCGAATACAGCACTTGGTAACATGGGTTCGTGCGTCTTTTCAAAATTCCAGAAACACCCACCTCATAATTGTCAAAAAAGTACGAAGCCTAGATGCATGGCTTTCTGCCCATTGTCTCCAACCATCTAATAACAATGATTAAGTTACTGTAGATAATCTGGTTCAATTTTACTACTCTGATACAGGGTATTAGCAGCATTTTAAATAGTGAAACGCCAGTTAGACCAACAATATCACTCTGTTTCTTTTTATCATTCATTGGGAAGTATGAAAAGCTTTTTTAAAACTTTTTAAAACTACTAAATGTGAACTGAACGTGATTATTTGGGCATACTAACCACCTGTCGTTACCGGTGTTGTTTCTTTCGTTTATTTTTCATCAATTTTTGATGTCAAGTGACCAACTAATTCTTGAGTGCATTAAATTATTTTCTGTTGACAGTTAGACTTTTATAGAGATGACTCAGGAATTATTTGAATAGTCAGACAGAAATCGATTAATACGATAAGACATGTTGATAAGCCATTCAAACATAAAGATTCACTAAAAATGAACTACAATGTGCACATATTTATTCTGCTTGAATACTTGAATAACATAACAGCCTGCCTTATATTGTCAGCCCAGTAATATTAATAATA